CTACATGCATGTACTACTGTGCCTGGCTACTAATTTACCTTTTTTTCTTTCTTCTTCTTAAAAAAAATTTTTTTTTTAAATTCTTGGTTGTGGGCCCTGAACTCTGGGCCTGGGCACTGTCCCTCAGCTCTTCAGCTCAAGGCTAGTGCTCTACCACTTCGAGCTAGAGCATCACTTTCGGTTTTCTGGTGGTTAATTGGAGATAAGAGTCTCATGGACTTTCCTGCCCGGGCATGCTTTTTGAACCTCGATCCTTGGATCTCAGCCTCCTGTGTAGCTAGAAGTACAGGTGTGAGCCACTGGCTCCCGGCTACTTTTTTTTTTTTGAGACAAGGTTTTACTGTGTAACTCAGTATGGCCTCAAATTTATAACCTTCCTGCCTTAGCTTTAAGCAGTGCTGAGATCCCATGCTCTCCTCTGGTTGTGTTCCTATTATTTAATCTTAAGAGTTTATACAATTAGATAAATAAGTTGCAAATAGTTTTTCATTATCTCAATTGTTAACACAAATGGAAAAAAATACAGCAGCGGGGCTGTCGGCTGCACTAGACATTGATGAAAATGAACTCAGCAACTCAAGGGCAGCAATAAGAGGGAGAGAATGAGGAAGAGGGAACAACTTACACTTAGCAAAAGGAAAGAAATGTACATGTCACCCGATTTGGAAGAAATAGCTGTAGTGTCAAATTTTGTACAGTCCATAAGCTTTATAGACCATGATAATGACAATGTGCCTCATGAATGTTAAAATGTGTGACTTTAACTGTCACTATCCCACAATACTGTGAAATGTGTGAAATTTATGTAATCACTTAATCTCAATAAAAAAATTTATTAAAAAAAGTTTGTATATGCCGGGTGCTGATGGCTCATGCCTATAATCCTAGCTACTCAGGAGGGTGAGATCTTTGGATCACAGTTCAAAGCCAGCCCGGGCAGGAAAGTTCATGAGACTCTTATCTCCAATTAACCACCAGAAAACTGGAAGTGGTGCTGTGGCTCAAATGGTAGAGCGCTCTCCTTGAGCTGAAAAGCTGAGGGACAGCGCCCAGGCCCAGAAAAAAAAATAGTGAGGGGGGGGGAGCATGCATGAGAGTGTGTGTGTGAGAGTTGTGGGGTTTGAACTATCCCTGAGCTATTTTGCTCAAGGCTAGCACTCTACTACTTTGAACCACATCTTCATTTTGGTTTTTAGTTGGTTAATTGGAGATAAGAGTCTTACGGACTTTCCTGCTGGGCTGCCTTTTGAACTGCAATCCTTACTTCTCAGCCTCTGGAGTAGCTGGAATTACAGATGTGAGGCATCAGCGTCTGGCTTATAGTTTTATTATTTTCTATTATTGTAGTGTTGGTATTCTTAGGAGGCTTTGCTGAATCCATGATTATAAAGACTCCTGTATTTTCTTCCAAAGGTTTTTATAGATTTAGCCCTACCTTATATTAGTGTTTGTGTATGGTGAGTAAAAAGGGCTGTGATTTTTTTTTTTCATATGTATATTCAGTTATCCTGTTCCTATTTATTGAAAAGACTCTTCCTTTTTTATTTTTTAGTTACTGAGTTCTAGGCATTTTTTTTATTTGTAATTGACTTAAGTCAGATTATGAATACAATCATTTTTTTGTGTGTGCCTATGTTAGGGCTAGAATTCAGGTCCTGTGCACTGTCCTTGAGCTTATTTTGCTCAAGGCTAGTGCTCTACCATTTCTGGCTTTATTTATTTATTTATTTTTGAGTAGTTTATTGTTGATAAGAATCTCAGCATTTTCCCTCCCAGGACTGGCTTTGAACTATGATCCTAAGATCTCAGCCCCCTGAGTAGCTAGGATTACAGGTGCCACTGATGCCCAGCTTCCTTAATTTTTCAATCCTAGTGCTCTACTACTTGAACCACAGCTCCACTTCTGGCTATTTGCTGGTTAATTGGAGATAAGACTCTTATGGACTTACCTGCTCATGCTAGTTTTGAACACGATTCTCAGATCTCAGCTAGGATTACAGGTGTGAGTTACTAGTGCCCAGCTAATGCATATTTTTGTTCATGATTATTATTGCTATTGTTAATATTATTCTTATATTTGGGGAGGGGTGCCAATCTTGGGGCTTGAACTCAGGGCCTGGGCTCTGTCACTGAGCTTTTGAGCTCAGGGCTAGCGCTTTAAAGTCACTTTGATCCACAGCTCCTTTGGCCTTTTGGAAACTAATTGGAGATCAGAGTTTCGTGGATATTAGGTAGTTGTACAAAGAGGTTTTAATGTAGAAAGTCAGGTTGTGAGTACAATGTATCTCCATTACTGTTATCCCTTCCATGTAATGACTGTATTGCTCACTCTTCTTTTTTCCATTTGTGTTCCCTCTTGCTGTTTCCCTTTCTCCGCCCAAAGACCCATGTTTTAGCTTCTTAGTAAATGCACTGTTCTTTATCCATGCTCAGGTGCCTGTAAGTATGCAGGTTTATTTATGGACTCTGTTTTGTTTAATTGATTTATGTCCATCCTTATGCCAAGACCTCACAGAGCTTCTGCCTGCCACTCCTACTTCTGCCAGAAATCATGTTTACTAGTCAGGCACATTTTTCAGGAGACATGGCCTCTTGCAGAGACTATGATGTATTTGAACGAATGGTATATCATGCTTCGTCTTCACAGGATTCTAACTAGCCTACTTAACAATGAGTGCTAGTCAATTGAGTTTGCAATTCTAGTTTTATTTTGACTTGTGTAAAAACTTCTTGAAGAAGTCTCTTAGAAACATAGAAAGGAGCCTGGCATGGGTGGCTCACGCCTGTAGTCCTAGCTACTCATTAGCCTGAGATCTGAGGATTGAGGTTTAAAGCCAGCCTGGGCAAGAAAGTCCATGAGACTCTTATCTCCAGTAAACCACTAGAAAACTGGAAGTGGCACTTTGGCTCACATGGTAGAGCGCTCTCCTTGAGCTAAGTAGTTTTCCTTCCTTTCTTCCCTCCCTCCTTCCTGCTCCCTCCCTCCTTTCTTTACTTTCTTTTTTCTTCTTTCTTTTTGTCTCTTATTTGCTGGTACTGGGGCTTGAACTCAGGTTCTTACTTAGTTTTTTAACTTGCAGCTGGCAATCTGCCACTTTAGCCACACCTTCATTTTCCAATATTTCATTTTTTTATGGTTTTTTAAAAATTTTATTTATTTATTTTTTTGGTCCGGTCGTGGGGCCTGAACTCTGGGCCTGGGCACTGTCCCTCAGCTCTTCAGCTCAAGGCTAGTGCTCTACCACTTGAGCCACAGCGCCACTTCTGGCTTTTTTCTTTTTGCTTATGTGGTGCTGAGGAATCGAACCCGGGGCCTTGAGCATGCAAGGCAAGCGCTCTACCACTGAGCCACCTTCCCAGCCCTTTTTTATGGTTTTTAAAAGCCAAGCGCCTAAACCCCAAGTTGTAGTTCAGACTATATAGTACTTGTGGCATATCTCTTTTGTGAGAATTATATTTACCTCTGTGCTTTTCCCTTCTGAGAAATTAGATAATAGTACTTAGTAAATTTTTATTCTGTTACAGTCAAATGAAGTAATATCAAGAACTTTCTTTCTTTCTTTCTTTTTTTTTTTTTTTTTTTTTGGTGCTAGTCTTGGGGCTTGAACTCAAAGCCTGTGCTGTCCTTGAGATTTTTTTTGCTCTAGGATAGCACCCTACTACTTGTGCCACGGCTCCATTTAAATTAACACTCCATTTAACAAGCAGGTACTTTCCTGTCTGGGCTGGCTTTGAACTGGGTAGCTAGGATTATAGGCATGAGCCATCAGTGCCAGCAAGAATTTTTTTAAGACTTAAATTTTTTGCTGTTTACTTTATTACTGCAAGTTAAGAATGGTCTTTTTTTTTTTTTTTTTAGTTTTAGTATATTTTCTGTTCGAAACTGTACATCCTGAGAATGTCTGATGTTTATGTGGGTACAGATATTATTATTCATGTGTTGACTGTGAATTTCTGTGTTTCTGAAATGAGATGGTTTCCTCAGAGATGGTTATTGTCTCATGGTAAGATGTTTCTCTCTCACTTTTTGTAAACAGCATTGCTTACTTGCTTCGTTTTGATTACAAGAGTTTTGAGGTGTAGAAACAGTAAATATGTAGGTCCGATTGCTACTGTTGTCAGTTGTATTTCCATATTGGATTTTTTTTTCTGAGCTGATCAAATGCCTTGTCAATGATTTTCCTCCCAGTTTTTTTTTTTTTTTTTTTATTTATTCTTACTGAAGCATATTTTCATTTAGCCCTGTCTTTGAGTGTTGGTTGGCCAGAGAAACAATAGTGGCAAAAACAAGGAGTTCAATAGAGAGGAAAAAAGAGTACACTATTAAGGAAAACTGTGCACGCTACATGGCTTAAGAGAAAGCCAGTCTATATATATTTGGATCCCGTCGTGGGGCCTGAACTCTGGGCCTGGGCACTGTCCCTCAGCTCTTCAGCTCAAGGCTAACGCTCTACCACTTGAGCCACAGCGCCACTTCTGGCTTTTTTCTTTTTGCTTATGTGGTGCTGAAAAATCGAACCCAGGGCCTCATGCATGCAAGGCAAGCGCTCTACCACTGAGCCACCTTCCCAGCCCTAGCCAGTCTATTTTTAAGAAAACTATTGCCACCAGATACTTTATAACATTTGTTTCTTTAAAGTAAAAAAAGGGCTATGTTATGATTTTGTTTGTTTTTTTGTTTTTTTTGGGTCCAGTCATGGGGCCTGAACTCTGGGCCTGGGCGCTGTCCCTCAGCTCTTCAGCTCAAGGCTAGCGCTCTACCACTTGAGCCACAGCGCCACTTCCGGCTTTTTTCTTTTTGCTTATATGGTGCTGAGGAATCGAATCCAGGGCCTCTGGCATGCAAGGCATGTGCTCTGTCATTGAGCCCAGCCCCCTTATGTTATGATTTTGAAATTAGATAAATTTCTATTTCATTTCAGAGACTCAAGTTGGTATTTTTTTTGTAAATTTCAGTCTGAACTTTTCTGATGACTAAACCTTAATTATTTTTTTACCAGACGGTCGGCCAAATCCCGAAGCAGAAGCCCATATTCATCTAGGCATTCAAGATCTCGTAGCAGGCACAGATTATCTAGATCCAGAAGTCGTCATTCTAGCATTTCTCCCAGTACATTGACTCTGAAGAGTAGCCTGGCAGCAGAATTGAACAAGAATAAAAAAGCAAGAGCTGCAGAGGCAGCAAGAGCTGCAGAGGCAGCAAAAGCTGCAGAAGCAGCGAAGGCTGCCGAGGCAGCTGCCAAGGCTGCCAAAGCTTCTACACCTACCAAGGGGAACGCAGAAACTGGTGCCAGCACATCACAAACCAACCATGTGAAGGATGTGAAGAAAGTTAAAGTTGAGCATGCACCTTCTCCCTCAAGTGGTGGAACTTTAAAAAATGACAAGGCAAAAACAAAACCACCTCTTCAGGTAACAAAGGTAGATAATAATTTGATTGTAGATAAAGCTACCAAGAAAACAGTTGTAGTTGGGAAGGAGAGTAAATCTGCTGCTACAAAGGAGGAACCAGTATCTCTTAAAGAGAAAACCAAACCACTTACACCAAGCATAGGAGCCAAGGAGAAGGAGCAACACGTGGCTTTAGTGACTTCTACATTACCACCATTACCTTTGCCTCCTATGCTGCCTGAAGATAAAGAAGCTGATAGGTAAGTGAAGACAAAATTGTTTCATTAACTACTTGAAGGGAAAATATCTGTTTGAAGTAAGAAATGATTTGATTTTTCCCTGCTTTGTTTTCCAAAAATTAGTAAAAAAATGCTTTAATTGAATGAATTTTCTTTGTTATACATATCTGAAGTAATTGTTTCTAACTGAGAAAATTACAGTTTATGCTGAGAAATGTAAGAAAAGTTTACTGTCATTGCCTTTGGATATGTATTTCATGATGAGTTGGTTGTAGAAATGCCAATATTCTCTTGCCATAGGTTTCCTTGGTGATACTTCAGCCAAGACATTTTATGAGAGTTTGCCCTAAGTGATAAAATTATTGCAAGCATATATTTATTTATGAGTTTTTTATATAATTTTATTGCTTTTAGTGGTTTTATTACCTAGTTACTTTTAGTCTTAACTCTTAACTTACTTTAGCTTATAACTAGGGAATACTTACATTATACAAGCCAATAAAAAGTATTTTTTTGATATGTTTAAATTTTTCTATTATGGGGCTGGGAAGGTGGCTCAGTGGTAGAGCGCTTGCCTTGCATGCCTGAGGCCCTGGGTTCGATTCCTCAGCACCACATAAGCAAAAAGAAAAAAACCGGGAGTGGTGCTGTGGCTCAAGTGGTAGAGCGCTAGCCTTGAGCTGAAGAGCTGAGGGATAGCGCCCAGGCCCAGAGTTCAGGCCCCACGACTGGACCCCCAAAAAAAAAATAAAAAATTTTTTTCTATTATGAATACTGGGGATGTAACTTTATTTTTTTAAAAAAGTTTTATGGTTAAGACGTTGTATGGAGGGGTTACAGTTACATGAGTAAGGCAATGAGTACATTACTTGTCGATCGTTGTTACCCTTTCCCTTCCTTGTTATTGTCCCACTATCCCTTCCCTCCCTCAGCTCCCACACTCCTATCCTTCCTTACCCCCCTTGCTGCCCGAAGTTCGATGTTCCTTTCCAATATACTGTCTAGTAGGTATCTTAGTTGCAATTGGTCATCCTGTGTCTTTGTTTCAGCGTTTTGTTATTTCTCTTCCTTGGGGATGTAACTTTATTTTGAAACATTTTTTTTTTCTTTATTTTTGTCCTCATGGGGCCTGAACTCTGGGCCTGAGCACTGTCCCTCGCTTTTCAGTTCAAGCCATAGTGCCACTTCTGGCTTTTTCTGCTTATGTGGTGCTGAGGAATTGAACCCAGGGCCTCATGCATGCAAGGCAAACACTCTACCACTGAGCCACCTTCCCAGCCTGAAACATTTTATTCTTAAAGGGACAAAGGTTATACTGTAAATTTACTGTAAAATGTATGCACCTAAATATTGACATGAACATAGGATTGACTATGGTATTGCATTATACCATTTAACCATTTTTATGAAAAAATTGGAGCTTTTTTCCTCCCTATTGTGGGCAATTTTCTAGGTTTTTTTTGGGAGGGGGGTCTTTGCCAATCTTGGGGGCTTGAACTCCTCAGAGCCCAGGAGCTCTCTTTCTGAGCTTTTTGTTCAAGGTTTGCTCTACCACTTGAGTCACACCTCCACTTCTGACTTTTTGGTGGCTGTTTGGAGGTTAGAGTCTCATGGATTTTCCTGACCAGGCTAGCTTATAACCATGATCCTCAGATTTCAGCCTCCTGAGTAGCTAGTAGGTATATTTAAAACATATATATGCTTAATTGACTTGTTTCATATCCACTGAGGTATTTTCTACAGTCAAAATGTTGGAAGAATCTGTCTAAAGTGATTGGGTGTTCCTAATTGAAATACTCCATGATGTTATCAGGATAAACTGTTCTCTAGGAGCATGAAGGTTCATAACAAAGTGAGTTGTAATTTTTGAGTAGTTCAGGAATAGGCTTTTTAGCAAGTAGAGGGCTTGCACTTAGTGAGCAGTAACGAGTTACTGGAAATCCAGATTCTGTGAGACAGGTGGTGGTTCTGAACTTTATTCTTTATATGTCCTTTAGGAATATGTTTTTCCTAGGAATGTTTTGGAGAATTAAGTGCATATCTTTGTGAATGCCTAAGGAGGACATTCTTTTTATATCTGTCGTTGTGTGTGTGTGTGTGCTGATTCTGGGCCTTGCACTCTTGCTTGGCTTTTTTTCTGCTCAAAGCTGGTGCTCTACCACTTGAGCCCACACCTCTACTTCTTGCTTCTGTCTTTATTTTTGTTTTAGGTGGTCTTGGGGCTTGAACCCAGAGCCTAGGGAGTGTTGCTGAGTGTTTTTTACTCAAGGCTAGCACTCTACCACTTAAGCCACAGCTCCAGTTCTGGCCTTTTGGTGGTTAATTGGATTAGTCTCATGGACTTTTCCTACCATCTGGCTTCCAACTGCTACCCTTAGATCTCAGCTTCCTGAATAGCTAGTATTACAGGTGTGAGCTATTGGCACCTAGTTAATTGGGGTGTTTTGTGTGACTTCTTGATTTTTGCAAATCTGTACTTCACTAGTTATTACTTGTTTATTTTATGATGTTAACCCCTTGTTTGATATATTTGTAAATGTTCAGTCATTTAGAAGAGTGGAAAGAATAAGAAAATCAATTCTGAACTCCATCTAGATTCAGCCAGTGTTTCTTTGTGTGAAAATGTTTGTGTACACTTTTGCTGAATACCATTTAGCCCTTGCAACATTAAATTTTTTTTTTCTTGCAGTTGTGGGGCTTGAACTCAGAGTCTAGGAGCTGTCTCTGAGGTCTTGTGCCCAATGCAGTACGTTTTATTCCACAGTGCCACTGTGGTTTTTAAATGTTTACTTGGAGATAATAGTCTCACGAAGACTTTTCTGCCCAGGCTGGCTTCGAACCACTATCTTCAGATCTCAGGGGCTGGGAAGGTGGCTCAGTGGTAGAGCGCTTGCCTTGCATGCATGAGGCCCTGGGTTCGATTCCTCAGCACCAAATAAGCAAAAAGAAAAAAGCCGGAAGTGGTGCTGTGGCTCAAGTGGTAGAGCGCTAGCCTTGAGCTGAAGAGCTGAGGGACAGCGCCCAGGCACAGAGTTCAGGCCCCAAGACCGGACCCAAAAAAAAAAAAAAAAAAAAATTTTTAAAAAAAATTGCAAAGCTTCAGATCTCAGCCTCCTGAGTACCTAGGACTACAAGGCTTGTGTCACCAGTGCCCGGAGACCCTTAACTTTTTTTTTTTGTCAGTTGTGGGACTTGAACTCTGGGCCTGGGCTATGTCCCTCAGCTCTTCAGCTCAAGGCTAGTGGTCTTATCACTAGAATCACAGTGCCACTTTCAGTTTTCAGATGGTTTATTGGAGATAAGAGTCTCATGGACTTTACTGCTTGGGTTATCTTTGAACTGAGATCTTCAGATATCAGCCTCTTGAGTAGCTAAGATTATAGGCGGGAGCGCTGAAATACTTAAATCATGTCAAAATAATAAGGTTAATTTTCCTTTTAATCCCAGTACTGTTAATGTATCTTAAGAAAATTAAGAAGAATTTACTAATATTTCTATTTGCAATTTTGTCCAGTCATTCCATGACTTTTTGAAGAATCCAGGTAAGTAGTCTTAGAGAATGCCTCACCTCTGAATTTGTCTGATTGTTTCTTCTTGGCGTTATTTAACTTGTTCTTTCTGACTTTTCCATTTTTCTCTGCAGCCTTAATCTATGGGGCTTTGGGTGGATTTAGAATTAAGTTGTTTTTTTTTTTTTTTGGTTGGTCGTGGGGCTTGAACTCTGGACCTGAGTGCTGTCCCTCAGCTCTTCAGCTCAAGGCTAGCGCTCTACCACTTGAGCTACAGTGCCACTTTTGGTTTTCTGGTGGTTTATTGGAGATGAGAGTCTCAAGGACTTTCCTGCCTGGGCTGGCTTTGAACAGTGATCCTCAGATCTCAGCCCCCTGAGTAGCTAGGATTATAGGCATGGGCCGCTGGCGCCCGGCTGGTTTTTGATAATATTTAGGAGTGATTTTTATTTGCCTTACACTGTCACTGCAAGAGGAAAAATAATGCCAGATCAATTAGTAGTTATGAAGTCATACCAGCCTTAAGATCTTTCCATATATAAAAGGTACTTTCTCATCAGGTTTTGGTTGCTCATGCCTATAATCTTAGTTACTGAGGAGGCTTGAGATCTGAGGATCATGGTTTGAAGCCAGTCTGGCAGGGGAAATTCATGAGATGCTTATCTCCAGTTAACCACCAAAAAGCCAGAAGTGGACTAAGGGCTATTCTTTTTTTTTTTTTTTTTTTTTGGGTCTGGTCGTGGGGCCTGAACTCTGGGTCTGGGCACTGTCCCTCAGCTCTTCAGCTCAAGGCTAGCACTCTACCACTTGAGCCACAGTGCCACTTCCAGCTTTTTTCTTTTTGCTTATGTGGTGCTGAGGAATCAAACCCAGGGCCTCATGCATGCAAGGCAAGCACTCTACCTCTGAGCCACCTTCCCAGCCCCTAAGGGCTATTCTTGGAAAAAAAAAAAAAAAAGAACAACAAAAAAACAAAACTCTGTGACTGTGCCCAGGCTCTAAGACTGGCACCAAAAAATAAAAATAAAAAAGGATACATTTTCTCCTTTGCAAGTAGAATAAGATGTGAGATAGTGTAGATTTGGAAGCTTTGAATTTTACCCCCAACAACATATCACCTAATGGTTTAGTACCCCTTAATGAGGCTTGTTTTAAGTTGGGGCAGCAAATGATGATTTTCTAATTTTGTGATTTTTCCAAACATTGGTAGTTAATAAAAGTAATGTAAATAAGATACTTTTCCCTGTTTAGTCATTCTAGTCTTTTGGATTTGTTTTTCTTTGTTACTATCAAATTATCAGAAATATTCAGTGAAGCTGATTAATTTGTCCTTTTCAGATGACCTCATTTGATTGTTAATGTTTCTTTGCTTCTCAACCAAATACCATATCTTAGGCTCACTTTGATTTCTCAGTTTATTTCTCCCCAAATTGTAATATATACTACGATCACACAATATATTTGTTGTCTTTTTAAGGGTCCTAATTGCATGCATAATGTTCCTTAATTTTT